CTGGGTCCCCCCTCGGCAGCCAGTCCCCCCCGTCGACTCCGCGGTACTCCTCTCGCCGAGCTGGAGTACCGCAGTCGACGGCGAGCACTTCCGGGTTCGACTTATCGCGTCCAGACTAGACGCGATAAGTCGAACCCAGAAGTTTGATTGCCAGCCGCCGAACTAGCGGGTAAGTGTAGCCAAGGCCTCAGTTAACAGCATTGACACTGGCATCTATTTCATGACAACATGTAGGAAAGGAAGAGATCACCACACTATGGAGCTCTGAAAGCCACTGCAGGTGACAGCTTATTTGGGAACCACCAGTGAATGGTGCTGAGGAGATATCAGCATCATTTTTTCCCTGCTCCAAGGATGAAGGTGTAATATCCAATTCTCCTCATACAGCTCCTGCTCTGGGGTGGGGCACCTTCTCCTCTGGCTTCCAGGAAGAGCCAGCAGCAGTTGTCAGTGGCCTATTCCTCCTTTTATCTACTCAGAAGAGCCTGGAGGCCCCTGCCCCTGTACTGCTGATGGTGGCCCTCAGTACCCTCAGGGTTTCAGGAGCCTGGTCTGCTCTAGCACTTATTTCCTGGCTCTAGAGCAGGGGATGGAAAACTTTTTGGCCCGAGGGCCACATTGGGATTGCAAAATTGTATGAAGGGCCAGGTAGGGAAGGCTGTGCCTCCTCAAACAGCCTGGCCCCCGCCCCCTATCCGACCCCTCCCACTTCCCACCCTCTGACTGCCCCCCCCCCTCAGAACTCCCGACCCATCCAATCCCCCCTGCTCCTTGTCTCCTAACTGCCCCCTGCCGGGACCCCCCGCCCCCAACTGCCTCCGGGACCCCACCACCTATCCAACCCCCCTGCTCCCAGTCCCCTGACTGTTCTGACCCCTATCCACACCCCCTCCCTATGACAGGCCCCCCCGGGACTCCCACGCCTATCCAACCCCCCCTTCCCCCACCGCCCCATCCAACCGCCTCCTGCTCCCTGTCCTCTGACTGCTCAGAGCAGCATGTCCGGCAGCCGTGCCACCCGGCCGAAGCCAGACATGCTGCCGCACTGCTCAGCAAGAGCATGCGGCGGCGCAGCTACGGAAGGGGGGGACGGGGACAGCAGGGGAGGGGCTGGGGTGCTAGCCTCCCCGGCCGGGAGCTCAATGGCCGGGCAGGACAGTTCCGCGGGCCTGCCCACCTCTGCTCTAGAGGCTGCTGGTCCTCTTTCTGCATCAGTTACAGCCAGGACAGTTTTCCACCTCAAAACTATTGTTTCAAGCCCTCTGCATACCGAGACGCATGTTACTGCATCAGTTAACCTTGAAAATATGACCCAACTATTTCTTTGCCAGTATGAGGACCAGAAGTATAGAATCATAGAAATGTAGGGATGGAAGGCACCTCAAGAAGTCATTAAGTCAAGCCTCCTGTGCTGTGTCAGAAACAAGTAAACCCAGATCATCTCTGATATGTGTTTGTCCAACCTGTTTTTAAAAACTTATGATGGGGATTCCAAAACCTCCCTTGGAAGGTGTTTCAGAGCTTAACTACCCTTTTAGTTACAAGTTTTTCCTAATATACAACCTAAATTTCCCTTGCTGCAGATTAAGCCTCTTACTTCTTGTCCTTTCTCCAGTGGACATGGAGAACAATTGATCACAGTCCTCTTTATAACAGCCCTTAAAATATTTGAAGACTATTGTCAGGTCCCCACTAAGTCTTCTTTTCTCACATTAATCTGCCCAGTTTTTTTTAAGCTTTCCCCATAGGACAGGTTTTCTAAACCATTTATCATTTCTGATGCTCTCCACTGGACTCTCTCCAATTTGTCCACATCTTTCCTAAAGTGTGGTGCCCATGGCTGGACACAGTACTACAGCTGGGGCCTTACCAGTGACAAGTAAAGCTGGACAATTACCTCCTGTGTCTTACATACCACACATCCCAAAATGATGTTAGCCTTTTGCAACTGCATCACATTACTGACTCATATTCAATCTGTGATCCACTATATATCCCAGATCCTTTCCAGAAGAACTATCTCCATTTTGTAGTTGTGCATTTGATTTCCCTTCCTAAGTACTTTGCACTTGTCTTTACTGAATATCATCTTGTTGAATTCATACCAAATTCTCCAATTTGTCAAGACTGTTTAAAATTCCAATCCTGCCCTCCCACGTGCTTGCAACCTGTCCCAGCTTGGTGTCATCTGCAAATTTTATAAGCATAATCTCAAGTCCATCATCCAAGTCATTAATGCAAATATTGAATAGTACCAGACCCAGGACAGACTCCTGCAGGACCCCACTAGATACACCCTTCCAGTTTAATAGTGAACCACTGATAACTACTCCGCAAATACAGTTTTTCAAGCAGTTGTACACCCACCTTATAGTAATTTCATCTAGTTAACTTATAAGATTGTCATGTGGGACTGTGTCAAAAGACTTACTAAAAATCAAGATATATCACATCTACTGCTTCGTGCTCCCCCTCCCATCCACTTAAGAAGTAACCCTGTCACAGAAGGAAATACAGTTGGTTTGGCATGATTTGTTCTTGAGAAAACCATGCTGACTATTTCTTATAACCCCATTATCTTCCAGGTACTTAGAAACTGATTGTTTAATAATTGTTTCCAGGTATTAAAGTTAGGCTGACTGGTCTATAATTCCCCAGGTCCTCTTTGTTCCTCTTTTTAAAGATAGGTTCTATGTTAGCCCTTCTCCAGTCTTCTGGGACCTCATTCATCCTTCAGGAGTTCTTAAAGATAACTGCTAATGGTACTGAGCATGCTTCAGCCAGTGCCTTAAGTACCTTGGGTTGAATTAAGTATAATTTGAATTGAAATGAAAGTTGAGATACTCTCATCATCACATGACTCTGGGCACATTGGCCCTTGCCAGGCATTTACTGTGCCTATAACTTAAAGCAGCTCTGCCCAAAAATATGCACAGATTTGGAGGACAGAAAAGACCATTATGATCAACTGCTCTGACCTTCTGCAGAGTACAGGCCATAGATTGTCATCCCAAATTCTAGCCCCATAACTTTTGTTTGAACTAAGGCGCATCTTTTAGAAAGACATCCAATGTTGATGTAAAGACTTCAAGTGATGGAGAATCCATCCCTTTGTTAGTTGTTTCTGTTAATTTCTCTGTGTTAAAAATTTGCACATTATTTCTACTCTGAATTTGCCTAGCCTCTGTTTCCAGTCACTGGATCTTGTTATACCTTTTTCTGCCAAACTAAAGGGCTGTCGACTATCAGAAAGCTTTTCCCCCCCATAGGGAAATACATATAGTGATCAAGTCACCTCTTAACCTAATCTTCAATAAACTACATAGATTGAGGTAGTGTTGTAGGCGTGTTGGTCCCAGAACATTAGAGAGACAAGGTGGGTGAGGTAATATCTTTGATTGGACCAACTTCTGTTATCTCACCCTCCCTGTCTCTCTAAATAGATTGAGCTTTTCTTTACTCTCTGGCTAGGTGTCATATTTTCCAGGCCTCAAATCATTCTTGTAACTCTTTTCTGAAGCCTTTCCAATTTGTCAACATACTTCTTAAAGTGTGGACTCCAGAACTGGATACAGTATCCAGTAATGGTCCCCCCACTGCTTACTGCCAAGGATTTAATTCACTCTCTTAGTTATTGGATTGCACCAGAAGCTCACATTCTACTCGTTATGTCCCAGTAAGTCCTTTCCAGAATCTCTGCTCTTTCAGATACAGTCCCCCATCTTATAAATGTGACCAACAGCCCTTGTTATGAAGTGCAGGACTATGCCAATGGCTGTGTTAAAATACATACTTCAAATGAGCCCTTCAAACAAAGCAATCCAGGCTGGCATGTACAATTGACCTGTCCCTATCATTATTTACCACTCTACCACTTTTAGTGTCATCTGCAAACTTTTACCAATTTTATATTTTCTTCCAGATCACTGATAATGTTTTTTGAATATCACTGGGCTGAGAATAGATACTGAGGGATGTCACTAGAGACACCTCCACTAGATGATTCCCCATTTATAATTACCTTTTTCTCTGTATCTGTTGACCAGTTTTTAATACATTTAATTTGATTTTGTATAGTGGTATTTTTTTTAAATCAGAATGTCATGGTTCAAATGCCCTACAAAACTAAGTATATTATGTCAACACAATTACCTTTGTCTGTCAAACTTGTAATCTGATAAAAAATGGTATCAAGTTTGTTTGACAAGAACCATTTTTCATAAGACCACATTGACTGGCATTAATTATGATATCATAATTTAATTCTTTACTGACTGTATCTCATATCAGCCTTTTCATGATTTTGTCCAGGTTCATCATCAGGTTAACCAGCCACTCAAAAATTTCCTGGGTCATCTTGTTTACCCTTTTTAAATATTGACACAACTTTGGCTTTTGCTTCCTCGGTGTTCCCAGATTTGTTAAAAATCAAGCCAAATTGTTCAGAGCGCTCCTAGGACAATTCTTTTAATATTCATGGGTTCAATATATCTGGCCCTGCAGATTTAAAAATGTTTAACTTTAACAGTTGGTGGTTAACATCCTCCCCAGATACTGATAAAACAGAATGTATTTCATCATCACATTGAGATATGAGAACACATCATCCTGCTTCTTTTCAAATACAGAACGCCTGTATTTATTGAATACCTCTGCTTTTTCTGCATCATAGCTGATAGTTTTACAATTCTGCCTAGTATTAGACCTATATCACTGGTAGGATTTAATTTGTTCCTGACATATTTAAAGAATGCCTTCTTACTGGCCACAGATTTTTCACTGATACCTTTAGCTTCCCTTATCAATTGTCTGTATTTCCTAACTGCTGATTTGTACTCATTACTATCAGGGAATTTTTTTTCACCAGACAAAAGACATATATATAATACACACACACACACACACACACACACACACACACACACACACACACACACAAAGTATAAGTTTTAAACAATTTAATACTGGTACACAGTGATGATGATTGTGAAGTCAGAGGGTGGGATATTTCCAGGGAATGCCTGGATGATGAACTAGCAATTGACTGAGCCCTCAAGGGTTAACTCTCACATTCTACTGTACAAGGCAGCAGGAAAGGAAGGAGGGCAGACAGAGCCACACACACACCGGACTGCAGCTGCTGCTGCTGCCTGGAAGCTCCCTCTGTTGTGTGTCCCCCCTGCTCTATGGAAGATGGGGTAAGCGGGGTGCAAGAGTAGGGGGGAGGGGAACACCCTGACATTAGCCCTCCTCTTCCTCCCACCCACACAGCAAGCAGGAGTCTCCGGGAGCAGCTCCAAGGCAGAGGGCAGGAGCACCACATGGCAGTGGGGGGAGGGACAGCTGCAATTGCTAGCCTGCTGGGGCGCTGCTGCGCCGGGAACT